AACTAAAATGCAATAAAAATCTCAATTTTGCTAAAAAATTCCCGGAACCTGATTTTCCTAGCAATCAACCCATATTCTGTAACTGTTAATAAAATATAGATGGATTTAAAATTTTTAAGACATTTTCTAAATAATTTTAATAATAATAATTAAAAAGTTTTTGATTACTGAAAAGAGTAATAATAATATGTTTTAACTTTAATCTTTGAATTCTTACTTTAGATCCTGATAATATAGAAAAAAAGCTTTTAATTTTAATATTCTTTGGTTATATACTCTCTAAATGCATCCTCTCTAAATGCATATGCATGCTCTTATTTTAGTTCCAAGCATATCAAATCATATAGAAATTTTCTTTTTAAATGCATATCCTCTTTAAATGCAATTTTTACTATGATTCCAAAGGGGATGCATTTAGAGAGAATTGACTATAAAATAAAGATTTTTTTTTTTTAAAAAATTAAAAATAAAATTAGGTGATATAAAAAAATAGCAAGAATTGAAAGAGTTTAATAGAAATAAATAAAAAATAGGAATTTGGGCTTTTCAATCAAACGATGTTTTAGAATGATACAAAAAAGATAGTATCATTAATAAAGCTTGACCCACTAACCTAGTACTGGGTTGTTGATTGATTAACAAAATAAAAAAAATTTTTTTTTTCGATCTTTTTAATAATAAAAAATGTTATATTTTTAATTTTTCAATACTACGGCGATATGTCTGACTCTAAGACGAAAATTGATTTGGCATGCAGGCTTGGCGTTTGTTGTTTTCTGCTATACTCGTATGTTAAGTCGGAAACAACTAACGAGGTATAATTGTCGAATGTAATTGCCTGAGAATTTGAAATTTGAAATTTAACTATTTTAATTATTTACTTTGGTCAATAAACAGCAAGACAGTCCTAGGTATAAATTAAGTGAAATGTATTTGAAAATATATTTATAATTAACTTAGGCAAATGTATTGTTATAATAGAAACGACTCAGATACCCGTGAACAAAAAATTACACCTTGGGAAGTGGAAGGAGCTGTTATTAATGGCCAAGTTCAAGCAATTGATTATAATAAGCTAATAGAAAAATTTGGAACACAGCTCATTGACAACGCACTTTTACAAAGGTTCCAAAAATTAACTGGAAAAGAACCTCACACACTCTTAAGAAGAGGAATTTTCTTCTCACATAGGTAATATATGTCTGCAGTAAAGCGTGTAATATCAATACATTTTTATAATATTGTCCGGAATTATTTGAATTCGCAGAGAATTTTCGAGAATTTTGGACCGTTATGAGCAGGGAAAACCTTTTTTCATTTATACAGGACGCGGTCCGAGTAGTTCGAGTATGCATCTCGGTCATATGGTTCCATTTGTATTTTGCAAGTAAGAATTAAGAAACCCCCCCTTTTTTTTTACCTAAAAGATATTATTCTGAATTAGGGAGTCCTTCTTTATATTAGATGGTTGCAAGAAGCTTTCAATGTACCAATTGTCATTCAATTAACCGGTTAGTTTTGTCTCGTAATTGATGTGATTCTTGTTATTATAGATTATTCATTCATACGCGTAATTAAAATATCTATATTTAGATGACGAAAAATTTATTTTCAAACCTGAATTAAAATTTGAGGATGCGCGTCAGTTCGCACGTGAAAATGCCAAAGATATTATTGCATGTGGTTTTGATTTAGATAAGACATTTATTTTCTCAAATACTGATTATGTTGGGTTTGTAAGCACTTTTATTGATTTTGAATTAAATTGATTTGTTCTTTTTTTTTTCACTTACTATCTATTTACTTCTAATATAAATAGAGGTCCATTCTATCATAATATTGTAAAGATCGCGAAATGTATCACGTATAATCAGTCAAAGGCGACTTTTGGTTTCAATGATAGGTGTGCTTTTTTTTTTAAATAATAATAATAATAATAATTCTTGCTTGACATTGATACACATTTATCTATTATTATTTTATAAATTTTTTTACATCAATAATATAATAGTGATTGTATCGGCAAGAATCATTTTGTTGCCATACAATCGGCACCTTCGTTTTCCAATAGTTTTCCTCAAATATTTGGAACTCGACATGATATTCCTTGTGTGATTCCTTGTGCTATAGATCAAGTATTTAGATAAAATATTTTCTGATACGAATTAAAATTCTTTTTAATAAATGCTTACGATTAATTTTAGGATCCATATTTTCGGTTAACGCGTGATGTCGCACATAAGTTGAAATATCCTAAACCTAGTCTTCTTCATGCTAAATTCTTCCCGTCGCTACAAGTAATTTTTGATGAAGTTTAATAATTTACATCCAACATTTAATACAAGTTTTGCTTATAATATTTTCAAATTTAGGGTTCCCAAACAAAAATGAGCGCCTCTGTGGATAATTCTGCAATTTTTATGTCGGATACTCCCAATCAAATCAAAAAAAAGGCTTGTTTTTATAATTGGAGAATTGATTCATATCTATAAATCACAAATAATCTAGCTAACTATAATATATTATGAATAACTTAGATTAACAAGTATGCATTTTCAGGTGGTGGTGTTACTGCTGAACTTCATCGGGAGAATGGAGGTAACCCGGACGTTGATGTTCCTTATCAGTATTTATCAGTATTTTTGGACGATGATGAAGAATTGGCTTCAATTTATGAGGTTACATGTTTTCTAAAGTTCTTATACTGTTTATAAATTGCTTAATCAATGATTGATTTTTTTTAATTGTTTGCAGAAATATAAATCCGGGGAAATGCTGACTGGTGAAATTAAAGCGCGTTGCATTGACGTATTACAGAAATTCGTTGGTGACTTTCAAAAGGTTAGCAAATTTATGATTGACTTATTGTGTATATCTATGTATTTAATAGAAAATTTAAATTTTTATTATGTATTTATTTATTATTATTATTTTTTTTTATTAAAAAAAAAAAAGAATAAATCACAAATAACGGATGAAATCTTGCAGAAGTTTATGGACCCTCAGAGAAAAATCGATATTTAAAAAAAAATCACAGAAAATAATACATTAAATAAAATTAAAAATAATTATGATTCGTTAGGCTTTTTAAATTATGATTAATAAACGTGGCGCAGTATTATTTTTTTTTTTTTATTAAAATTTCTATTTTAAGCAATGAAGACGCATGCATTTAAATGTTATCCTTCTAATACAAAAAAAAAAAAAAAAATTAAAATTTCTAGCTACCTAAAAAAAAATGGATCAGCCTAATCCTCAGTTGGTTTCTCTTTTACAAGGAAAACTTGGACAGTTAATAGGAAAGTCTTCGGGTTATATTGAAAACTTACCGGAAGACGTAAAAGCTCGAATCAATAGTTTAAAATATTATCAAGCTGAACATGCGAAGTTGGAAGCAAAATTTCAAGAAGAGATCTTGGCATTAGAAAAAAAATATTTAGAACTATACAGACCTTTGTATGAAACACGTTCCAAGATCGTTCGTGGGGAGCGCGAACCAACTGTAGAGGAAGTTCAGGCTGGAGTCAAACTGGATGAGGAAGAACAAACAAAAGAGGAGGAAAATGTGGTTAACGAAGAGAATAAAGTACAAGAAATTATTGAAGGACCTGTTAAAGGCATTCCAGAGTTCTGGCTTACTTCAATGAAAAATTTAATTACCATTGAAGAGATTATTACTGAACGCGATGAAGATGCATTAAAGCATTTGATCGATATAAGGATGTCATATCTTGAAAAACCTGGATTCCGACTAGATTTTGAATTTGAAGAGAATCCATATTTTACGAATACCCTCTTGACAAAGACATATTATTATCAAGAGGAACCAGGTTATGGAGGTGATTTCGTTTATGATCATGCTGAAGGCACGCCAATTAATTGGAAAGAAGGAAAGGATCTTACGGTTACAGTGGAAACGAAAAGGCAAAAGCGTAAAGGTAATTTCATAAGACACATTTTTTTTTTTATCTTTTTCTTTTAATTTAATTGTTCAAATCAATTTCGATTTACATCTTTTTAGGTACTAAAGAGACTCGTGTAGTAAAAACCACAGTACCTGCCGAATCATTCTTTCAATTCTTCAATCCGCCCACTGAACTGGAAGAAGATAATGATGATTTGGATGATAATATAGATGAGCGACTTGAAATGGATTATCAAATTGGAGAGGATATAAAAGAAAAACTTATTCCTCGTGCTATAGATTGGTATACTGGTAAAGCTTTGAAATATGAGGAGATTGAAGAGAATCCTTTCTTTGTTGGTGATGATGATGATGACGATGACGAGGATGATGATGACGATGATAACGATGACGATGATGATGATGAAATGGTAAATAGTAAATTTCATTACTTTCTTGCGCATTTACTTCAACATTTCTTGACCTTTCTTTTTTGTTTATTAAATATAGACCGGAGGAAAAAATGGAAAGGTAGGTAAATATCATCTATTAAATTCTTGTAATTATGATTATTTTAAAATGATTTAATTGATTGAATTTCATTTTATCTAGACGAATGCAAACAACAATAAAATCAAAGGAGTATTAAACCGTTATTAAATTTTTAATTGCAATATAGAAAAAAAAAAAAAAATCTATCATAAATTTAATATACAATTTTATTCATAACACTCATTTCATTTCTTATACTTTCTTTTTTTTATTTTTCGTTGTTTACTACTCATCATCCAACTTGAAAAATATGCATTGATATTCGAATAATGTTATAAATATCAGATTATTTTCATTCATCAAGATTACCAAGATTCTTGATTATCTTTAACATTGTCTCAATTTCTTTTTGGGTAGCATCACCGTGTGCAAACCATCTTATTTTACAATCTGCATCTATCACAAAAACATATCCTCTATAAGAATTACGTATATTCAAAGCTTCGTGTAAAGTTTGATCATTTCGGAAGTGGAAGAGATAAGTTTTCTGATACAAGAAAAAAGGATGATTAATAACATAATTATACGTGTGTTCGTGTCAATCAAAAATGATATGATACATACGTGAAGTGATTGAGGAATTGCGCTACGAATGCTTGGAATGAACAATTTAAGAATCAACGATTTTAAGATATTTGTCTCAACGTTCAACTACCTTTCATATTAATCATCATAATCGTTTTAGTAAAAAATCATTCGAATCAATTATAACTTTATAAGGAAATGACATACCTGCATTAGTTGTATTTTTGGTTTATTAGAGAATTCTGCAAGAAAAGGTTCGATATAACTTTTGACATGATTTTCTCCAAATCGATTGAAGTATACCGCAAATAAAGTTGTATTATCCTTTAATAAATCCACAGTGTCAATATTCGATTTTAATAATGAACGAGCATTAATATTAGGTATATATAACGCTTCCTATTTTTTTTTTTAAAAAAAAAAAAAAATGAAAAAAGACGCGTCAAATCAAAAATTACGTTTCATATAATATAATCAACTATTTTGCCGACGAACTTTTCATCACAGAATCTCCATTTTATAAAGCCACTACGCTATGTGGCGCATGTACTTGACGATAAAGATACGTATTTGAGACCAATTGCGCCCCAATCAGTAAAACCTAGAAGCAAACAAATAGACCACCTCGTGTCGTGTCGATGAAATAAACCACTCGAAATGCGATTCGGTAAAATGGCGTCGCTTAAAATGGTCGTAGACAAAACGTGCTGTAAATAAAATAATATTATACCTCTGCTTTAATAGCTTCCTGATTAGCTTCCCATAACTTTTCACCT